TTTAATAACTGTTAATTAAGTAGCAAAATTGTCAAGAAGGACGATGATAGCGCCTACGGAACGGGTTATTTTCGCATATTAACGATGAAAACTATCCGAGATCTGAGAAAAATCAGAGATCATATCGAGGCGAACATTGTTGGACATGACGAATTAGAACACGTGTTAATTGCTCAAAGACTCTCGATTCTGAATAATTATAATTAAATTCCGATATTATGTGAAGTTGTATGAATTTATATTTCAAGAATTATACTGAAGAAGACGCGTGCGGTCGAAACGTTTATAGAATGATTTTAATTTGCGTTAGTTTAATATCTAATGACTGTAGTTTTATAATTATACATGTAATAAATGGTAGTTGACTGAACATCTCGAATATTCAGCTCGATAAGTTGGCCTTAGATTTATCACTTATTATCCTATAATTTTTGGAAATTATAATAATAGACTTAATTAGATATAATTAATGTTTATTTGATTTTATTTTAGATTTTATAATTATTCACTATTATTATTTATATTGTTATTGCAAAATGCTACATTATTATGAGAATAAATATATTCTCATTTTATTGTTTTTTTTTTCAGCCAGAGATAATAAAAAAAGCAGGTTATCTCACGGAAACTCACGTTGTAACAACGGAAGATGGCTATATTTTGACATTACATCGTATCCCAGGTGGCAACGGCTCTCTACCTGTATTACTGGTACATGGTGCTATTAACGATGACATTATTTGGATCGTTCTTGGTAAAGGCAAAGCACTCGGTACGGCTTTTAAATCAATCATTGAAAGATATACCAGCACTGTCGAGCAGATCACATCGTTAATCTTATTTTTAATAAAAAATATCTAAGAGAAAAATATTGAAATTAAAGGGCAAATATTGAAATTAAAGAAACAAAAAAATTTTATGCACTTTTAATTACGATACATTTTTAGTTTATCTTACTTTTTGAAATTTGTTTACATTTAAAAGTTGAATTTCTAAAATTTGTTATATAACAGGTGTATATATTTTTATATATTTTGTATATTTACATATTTTACATATATGATTATAATAATAAGAATATTTTAAGTTAGCTCCTTAATTTTAAAAACCCAATATACACTTTATTCCTCTCGACCAATAGAGCCAAACGCGATGTTATTGCGACAATTAAGAAAAAAAGAAAATTTGGAAACTAAGGAATTAGCTAAGAAGCGGAAGGTCTCGGGTTCGATTCCCGATTCAGCCGACTTTCGGACCAATATTTTTCTCGCCTATTTCTTTACAGGGGATGTTAAGAGAAGGAACAAGGGGAATTTCTGAGATCCGAACCATAGGATTCAAATTCCTTAGTTTCCAAATTTTCTTTCTTTCTTAATTGTCGCAATAACATCGCGTTTGGCTCTATTGGTTGAGAGGAATAAAGTATATATATGATTATATTTAGGTAATGAGTGAATTATAAATCAGATTACAGTTTTAATCTTGTTATAATAATATTTCTATGTAAAAAATAATAAAATATAGAATATGCAAAAAACGATACAAATAAAATATTGCAAATGTTTTTTTATATTGTGTTTTAGCTTATCTATTAGCGGATCAGGGATACGATGTTTGGTTGGCTAATTTGCGTGGTACTACTTATTCGAGAAAGCACATTTCCCTATCACCATCAGAATTGAAATATTGGAATTTTAGGTATGCTCGTAAAATAAAAATAATTCTTTAAAAATAGATAGTTTTTTCTTTGGTGAAGTTTTCGTAAATGCTAATTTATTATTATTGCAAAAAAATTTATTTTTTCGTAAATACATCTCATATTTATATTTCAATATACTAATACAGTACTTTCTTGTTCTTTTATTGCTTCTCATAGAGGAAGCTTTGTTTGGTGAAAAAATTTTTTTCAAATTTTTATACCAATGTGTTTAGAATGTTCAAAACATCGAAAAATCACATTTTTAAAAAATGGATATGTATGTACGGATGTATGTGCTGCAACGTCGTTTCCTGCTCCGAAACGCCAAATTCGGAGAGGGGAGCGTTCAATTTATATAACTAATCGTAGGTAGCAATAGAAGGCGGTACGGCGTAATTAATTACGCTTAGTTCGGTAGCAACGATAACCGAGACTAAGTTGGGCGCCAGGCGTATCTCAATGCGCCGCGGTAGGCATGAAAACGGTACCTTAAGGGGATGCCGGAGCGTTGGCCGAACTCCGACGGGTTAGCGCCCTCATCTAAGCGGAACTAAAATTGTCGATAATTACCGACAATTTTAATTTTGCTATTATCGGCAGTTTCCATATATTAAAAATTTACATGCATGTCAAAAAAAAAAACAAATTTATTGTGTTCAACATATTATATTTTTTTAGACAACATAATATATTTTTACTGTTGAATCATCTCGCACACGCGTTTTTATCTAAGCGTGTCAATGACAGTAAAACATACATACATAATTGTGTCTATCTTTATCACATAGTTTGAACACTATATATATATATATATATATATATATATGTTTTTTTGCTTATATATTTACATGCAATTCTTATATATATAATATATGTATATATCATTCACATGTGTATGTATGAATATAATTACTTATCATTTACATGTGTGTGTATGAATATATTTACTGAGCATTCACATGTGTGTGTTTAAATATATTTACTGAGTGTTCTAAATAAAACGTTACAATTTTGTAATTCTAAAAGTATAATTTTTAGAAAATAATGCTGCAAATAAAAGTTCCAGTATTTCAACAGAGATATACATACTTTGATGTTACAGAAATGTTTGTAGAAGGCAATTTTCAATATCATTAGTCAACTTGATTATTTGATATTGATTAGTCTAATAATAAGTATTTATGCATGTAAATTGATTCCTTGTAACATATTCTGCATACAGGGTAAAAGTCAATAATTGAACGGTTTACGAGATATTTTACATAATTTAACATTATATATATATATATATATATATATATATAGGAAGAATATAGGAGATGTAATAAATATGTACCGGGTGTTTCAATAAGCGTTACAAATTTTTATCGCTAAAAATGTTTGTAGAACAAAATGTTTCAAATAAAAATTTTAGTATCTCAAAGGAAGCATAGTTGATGTCATAGAAATGTTTGTAAGAGGCAATTTTCAAGCTTATTTATAGTCAATTTAATTATTTTATATAGAATTATTCTAAGCGTTTATGTAAATAGATTTTTTGTAATATTCTGCATAAAAATATAAGGAAATGTAGCCAAGAATTACACAGATTCCGAGATATTTCACATAATCTGACATATTTTGATATAAAATACAAAATATCTCGTAAAATATTTAGTTTTCAATGGTCTTGTTTTTATGTATAGAATAATTAGACAAAACAATGGGTATAAACAACAATGTTGTTTTTACGAAAAAATATATATAGCTGCATGTAGCAAATTGTATATTTTTTTTGCTGTGTATCTTTTTTTATTTGTCTATAATTATTCTGTACATAAAAGTATTATCAAACACTAAATATTTTATTTACGAAATATTTTTTATTTTTTATATCAAAATATGTTAGATTATGTAAAATATCTCATAAACCGTTTAATTATTGACTTTTACCCTGTATGCAGAATATGTTACAAGAAATAAATTTACATAAATACTTAAACTAATCAATATAAAATGATCAAGTTGAATAATGATATTGAAAATTGCCTTTTACAAACATTTCTGTAACATCAAAATATGTATATCTCCGTTGAAATACTGGAACTTTTATTTGCAGCATTATTTTCTAAAAATTATACTTTTAGAAATAAAAAATTGTAACGTTTTATTTATAGACCAATGCAATTAGGTGTTACAAAGACCAAAAACGGAAAAAATTAATAGCAGGACGGCTCTTGGTGGAATTGGTAGATAATTTTGCACTGATTACGGGGAAAAAATGCAATTTGATCAGATGTATTTTAGGGTATTCTGGGGTGACTTTTAGGGGTGGCAAGCGGTTTTTTGTGATTTCCGCCAAAAGTTGACCTCGGATCAAAAAATGTTCTAAGAAAAAGTTGTAGATATATTAAAACAATCTAAAACTTTTATATACATCATTTTTCATATAACCTCAAAATTTTCGAGAAAAATTTAAAAAACTGTGTTTTTCGTATTTATTTTTTTCTCGGACAAAAAAAATTTTTTTTCACCAAATTTGGTGGAAACTTACCTTTTCATGACCCAAATAAGCTGTAATTTTTTGGAATAAAAATATTTATGTTTCAAAATTTTGTTGACGTAAAACCGAAAAATTACCCCTAACTTCAATCGAAAAATCTTGTGTTAAAATTTTAGATTTTAGATTTTTTCAGGGAGGGATTTTATTCGTTGAAATGTCTATTTTCAGATGGTTCAAAAAAATTAGACCTCACTTTGCACAAAATTGCCAAAAATTGCAAAAAACTAAAAAAACGTGTTTTCAAAAAGTAATATTTGCAGTTATTGCTTGAAATGTGATATTATTTATTAAAATTTTTAGTTGAAATGTATAAAAATGGTATCATTTAATGTTGCATTGATAAATAAAGTAATTGCAAATTGTTGAAGAATGGGATGCATAAAAAATGCCAAAATAATTTTTAAATCCATTGAATTCAAGTAAATTTCACTGTTTTAAACAAACTTAATTTTTATTCAAAGATATGAAAATGTAGATATGTAATTTATAGTAAGTTAAATCCGTCGGAATCATAATAGCGTGGTTGCCAGATTGTTGGATTATAATGTGGCAACCTCGCAGAGCAGCTTATGAACCGTTACATAGTTATAGTATTCCAGGAGCAAAGCAGTGAACAGCATCTTTTACACGTGGCTGAGTGTTTTAAGACAAAAACTTCTTCAATAACAAATAGAACGTAAAAAATTTGTTGCTTTGCAATGAACTTTTGAAATCTAAATTGCAAGATAAATTTGAAAATGTTATCTTTGATCTGCTCCAAAATAGATATATTATTATTTTTCCTATACGTGTAATGAGAGAGAGAAAAATAAAAAAAACAAGGATAAAATGATAAAAACTTTACTTGAAAAATTAACATCGGAAGGATTTTTCTGCCAACAAGCTAAAGAAGATGCTGATGCTGACATAATTAGAACCTTGATACAAGTTTCTAAGGACAATGCGAAGACCGTCATAGTTGTGGGACAAGATATTGATCTTCTTGTTCTTCTAAATCAATTAAGTTCAAAGAATAGTACCATTTATTTTCACAAGCCAGGTTCCGGTAATGTCAAAAATTCTTTTTACACCTCAAACAGTTTCAAACACAAATCATTAACAAATCTTGTTGCATTTTTACATTGTTTTTCTGGTTGCGATACAACTTCTACATTTGCTGGAAAAGGAAAAAAAACAACAGTGAAATCACTATTGTCCGATCAAAATTTATCATCATTGGCCAGGATTTTTTATAACAGAGACGCAGACAAAAAAGACATCTCCGAAAACGGTTTACAACTAATCAAGGCAATTTATAAATGCAAACAAGAAAATGCCACTTTAAATCAATTGAGATTCCGCAACTATCAAGCAGCAACAGTGGAGTCATCATTTAAATTAGAAAAACTTCCACCAAGTAAAGACGCTGCGAAACAACATTGTTACCGGGCATACTATCAACTTCAGACTTGGCTCGGTAACACACTAACCGCAACGGATTGGGGCTGGCAAAAATTTCAGGATGGAATTATGCCGATATTCACAGAACAAGAATTGATTCCAGAAATATTACTGAAAACTATTTGCTGCAACTGTGAAATCGGATGTAACAGCAAAAAATGTGGATGTCGTAAACATGGATTAAAATGCACAAATTTGTGTTTAAACTGCCACGCTTCCGAGAAATGCTGCAATATGGAATAACAAAATATTCAGGAAATAAGCGACTCAGAAGAAACTATCGACGATGAACCAGTTCTTAGAAACATCGTTCTTACGGAACATCGAAATTGAAGAAGATGATAACATCAATGAAGGTCCAACCGAATCCGCAAGTTTTATACAATCTGACGACGAAGAACTGCCAGCGAAAAAGAGAAAATTTGTGTGACACCTGATAAATTTAATTATAATTATTATTAGCGTCGGTTAATGAAAACAATTTATTTATAATTTCCATGGGCATTTTCTGAAATTTATTTTTTGTGTTAAAATAATATTTTAAAATCAACATTAAATGATATCATTTTTATACATTTCAACTAAAAATTTTAATAAATAATATCACATTTCAAGCAATAACTGCAAATATTACTTTTTGAAAACACGTTTTTTCAGTTTTTCGCAAATTTCTGGCAATTTTGTGCAAAGTGAGGTCTAATTTTTTTGAACCATCTGAAAATAGACATTTCAACGAATAAAATCCCCCCCTAAAAAAATCTAAAATCTAAAATTTTAACACGAGATTTTTTGATTGAAGTTAGGGGTAATTTTTCGGTTTTACGTCAACAAAACTTTAAAACATAAATATTTTTATTCCAAAAAATTACAGCTTATTTGGGTCATGAAAAGGTAAGTTTCCACCAAATTTGGTGAAAAAAAATTTTTTTTTGTCCGAGAAAAAAAATAAATACGAAAAACAGTTTTTTAAATTTTTTTCGAAAATTTTGAGGTTATGTGAAAAATGATGTATACAAA